TAATAAAAAGATACGCATCGATTAACTTACAGTTAGGATGAGCAAGACAATGATCGCAGACACGTATTTCACTGTTTGTAATACAATCTGATAGCCACGGAGCGGTTTCCGTGGCAGAAATGGATCTAAAGGGCAGATTTTGAAGTAGAGAAGTGGATATGTTTCATTGGACGACACTAAAGCTTCCTTGAGAACACGAAATTAGATGATCGTTTTAAGCTTCTTTCTTTAGATTTGAAACTTTTAGGATAAGTGCTTGTGAAAATTGTTTTCCATAAAATTTCCAGCTTTTATTTTTAGCTACGCGCTGTGGCTTTTGGAGCATAGTTATGAAAGTGGTCGCGCTGGTTCCTCAATGTTTTTTACTCACGCATTCCAATTTCGACCTATACTTGAACGATTCGATGATTATGATGGACCTCGGCGCCTGTTTAATTATGTGAACATTTTAAATTAAAATTTTCATATGATCTGAAATAGTTTCTGGGTACAAATACTAATAATGGCAGTAATTTTGGTTTCTTATTAAAATTCTCGGAAACATGCTGCAGAAGCATTTATCCAGTAGTCCATGTTTCCACCTATTTTTCCTGCAATTCATATTCGGCGATTCTTCCGCCGTGCTTGTAAGAGAAAATTATGGTTCAAATTCAAGTAATAGACAAACACTAATTTTAATTAATGATATAGAATATTACTTGGAAGTGAATAAATCCAGATCTCAGTTTTTTCCATTATTTTTTCATTCCAGATTTCAACTTTAACTCTCTTACAAGAAGATTCGGAAAACGTTCTTTCTGATGAACATCTCTATACTAGTATGCAAGCTATTCGAAATACTTGCATGGCTTTCAGAAGGTATGTTTCCCAATTATGAACGTTTTCAAAGATTTGTAGGTATTCCTTGATCAAATAATTATTTAGGTAATTGAATATAGAGATGCTTAGCTCTTGTTCTTTTTATCTTCTGTTCATGTATTTTTGTGTCTTTACAGTTATATGGCTGCTCATATCTTTGTCAAAGTGGAACATCTGAAACGAACACATGTATCTCGACTACAGTGTCTTAAGGATATCGTCATTCCTTCTTGTGTCCATGGATTACCGGCTAATAAGGTTGAGTATTGTTATACTTCTTTGCTTCTTTGCTGAGCAGGCATTCTGCAATTATTAAGTAGATGTGCTGATTCAAAAATTCTTCGTCTTTTCTGTTTCACTTTTTTCCCATAGAAGTTTTTTTACAGGGGATGCATCTCGATGACGAAAATTTGAAAACTTGCGTTTGGATTCTGCTACATACTCTAGGATTGCATTCATCTTGGCGACCCGTTGAAGAATTGAAACGTTTAGGAGTTATTCGCACTATGTACTACCTAGTTGGAACAGCTAATTCCTGGAATGGTGGTTCAAAAATTGAAATTCTTAAAATGTCTCTTGATGTAAGTTATTTTTTTGCTACAGATCTCGACGTTCTGTATTAAATCGCTCTCGTTCATTTGCTGGGTAATTAGATTTACTCTCTCATTTGATTCAAATGAATCAAATGTTTTTTTAATTCAGACATCTTCCTCAAAGACTGTTTGAAAATGATTCACAGTAATTTCGGAGAGAGAATTTAGTCTAGTTTCGCGATACAAACAAAACATTAAGTTTCTGCTACAGTGCCTTACCATTGAATTAATGAGAATTTTCTACTCAAGGTTTTGTGGATGTGTTCCGCTGTGCCCCGGATTCAAATGGATATTTGCGAAAGTACATTGAAAATACGGGAGCAGAATGTTGAATCTGTCGGGTAAACGTATGTTTGTTTAACCAAGTACGCGCAGTGTGGTATTAAAGAGGAACTGCGAATGAAATCTAAGAAATTTTATGCGAAATTCGATTTTTTGTTAATGATTTCATGAGAAGTTCGATTTTTTTGTTAATGATTTCATGAGTTTCGAATTTTAGGACAATTCTGGAATTCTGTGAAGGCGAAATGATAGCAGACTCTGAAGTTCAGTTCGCTGCCTTGAGGGTGATAATAAATTGTGTATGTGCTCCATTGGAACGAGTAGGTTGAATTCTTTTGAAACACAAGAAGTGATTTGGTGGTTCAGCAGAATTTACTCGTTGTCTGAGAAATTTTGGCTATCTCGAAGTAGACGTGTACGGATAGGGTTGACAGGTCACATACTCGAAATAAAGTGCCGTGAATGTTTTTTATATTTGAGTACTCCAAATTTAGCTTTTTATATTTGATTACTTAACGTGCCGATGAACAAAGATTGTGTTTGCTCTTTAACTAGTTGTCGACAAATGACAAAATTTTTTAGGGGGACAGTCATCTTTTTCAGCACAGTGGACGACTGGCTATATCGCCTTCAACTAGTGACACTTTAGTACACTCCTCTGATTCTCGAACAAGCTGCCGAAGTGTTGGAACACCTTATAAAATACGAAAACAAAGAAAAGCACAGATGGAATTTTTTTTAGAAAAAGTGTGGAGCACTGTTCGAAGAAATAATGGAATTATGGTAATTTTTAGTCTTTATAAAACCTTTCCCATTGGAAGATAGGCTTATTTTCTAGTGTCTCAGGTTGAAGCTCATTCATATAATGTAGATCAAAGAGATATTTTGAATTCTTTACTTTTTGGAGTTCCTCAAGGCAACAAGTTATTTTGCCACTCCATGTATGTGATTCTAAAGTTTCAGTTGTGCTGTTTTAAAAATTGTATAGAAAAGTTTTGAGATTACATGCAGAGTATTGTTGAAAATTAAATCTGGCTTTTACGGAATTAATTAGTCTAGTTTTCTTGAGCAATAAATCAATTCGAAATGAAAATTCATATTATTGCCTGCAAAATAAAACAACTGTCTATTCTTATCCTTTTTCCATTTTTATTTCGGTTCATATCTCAGCTTTACTTATGCCCTGATGGCTGCATTTTTTTTTCTACAGATCTTGAAAAAACTGCTGTATACAGAAACGCCAATCACAGAAGCAGATGCACTTCGCGGAATCGCATGTCAAGCTCTTAATGGCTTAGCACGTTCCGAAAGTGTTCGTCAAATCCTTGAAGTAATGCCGCTTATTTCAAACAGCGAGCTTTGTGGTACAGTTTTTTTTTTCCTTTCAATCCAAGCATTTTTTGAATGGAGTTCTTAATATGATGGAATCATTTCATTTTTTTTTTGATATCTTTCATCTCAATTTCAGGTCTGATGCGTGAGCCCGTTCTACAAGAGCGACGTGCTGAACACGCCAGGTTCTGTGAGCAAGCTCACTTACTGATTGAAAAAATCACCAAAAAGCGAATCCACGATTTTCCGAAAGATCTAACGAAAGTGTGTGCTCTATTGGTCTTTTTTTGAATATGATAATGATAAATGAGATAAAACTTACTATCTTCGTGAGAATCATATTATGATTACTATAGACATATTTTGTGAATATTACAGGAAAAGCTCTGGAAATGGCATATCGTTGCTCATACCAAAGTTGTTTACAATGATAAGGAACTATTGCAACTGATACATCAACATCTGATCAAAAAGGGGTTGCTCAAAACAGCGGATAATTTAAAAAATGAAGCCAGTTTACCTGATATACCTGCGAGTCGTGTCTCCACTCGTCTACATTCTATTGGTGCATTGGTAATTTGCTTTTTTCGGTGCTAAACTCTGATGATTCTGAGAATTCCATAATCTGTGAATGGGAATTTTTCAGCCAAAACGTTTTGAAAATACATTTTCTGATATCAACAGCGATATTGTATCGGGAAAAACTTTAATTTTGAGCACCTTCGGTGGTAGCAGTCGACATCGAAAAAGTGAGCAATCAACAATACCCGCCATTATGTAAGATTTTAAGTCAAAATGTCGAACACTAAAAGAATATCTTTTGAATAATTGCTTTTGGTTAGTAAAAAAGTCTTTTCTTGAAACTCTATGCTACTTTCAGATTTTATCAAGTAGTAGGTAAAAACATTTTATTCAAATCTAAGGTTTTGCATAACTTATTGATGAAATTTGATTGGGAAATTGATGATCTTCGTTTTTTTTTTCCAACAGAACAACCTTATATACTTCATGGGCTTTGCACGAATGTTAAAAACTGTTTATTGAATACCGATTATGCTTGAAATGAGAACGTGAAATGTTATATTCATTACATACAAATATCTCGTTAAAGGGCAAAACGCACACCAGTTAATGAACAGCGAGACCAAATAGCTACCTTAGCCTCAACTCCCATATCAAAATCAGCAAAGGTGTTGAACATTACTGGGCGTAAGTTTTTCTTGGGGATATTTATTTCTTCAAAACTGCTGTATAGAATAATAACTGGATATGCATATTTCCACAATGGAAACTTTCGAATTATATTTCCACAATGGAAACTTTCGAATCATATTTCCACAATGGAAACTTTCGAATTTTTTTTTGCTCTGCATCTTCTACTATTTGTTTTTCTTTTCTTTTTTTTCTCATTTGCCTTTTTTATTTTCTTAGGTCGTCATTTTGATGGGAGTCCGCCAGGAACGTCATTTGTAAGTAGCTCTTCAATAGACCTTAAAAAAGTGGAAGTTACCGGCAGCAGTGGAAATGTCATGAATCCTCAATTGCCATCAGCGATGCCAGTTCCTCCGAAAGATCTTGACGAAATCGTTACAGATTTTTTCAGGTATTATTCAACTTAGTTTAGTCACTTAATTTTGAAGTAACAGAGAGATGGAGCTTTGAAATAAAATCTAACGTTTAAATTATTTTTCAGAAAGCAGCATTCGACGTGTTGTAATCCAGTATCTACGTGTCCTCCCTTCTCACTTTACTAGTATGTTGCATTAAAACTGATTTATATAGTTTTCTAGAATAGTCCAATAAGTTAGGATTTTTAGCGAGAAACAGTGTATTGTTTTAGGCAAAAGAATTCCAAGAAGACAAATCTGTAATATTTTCATTTCAGTCCACATCACTGTCCGGAACCACAACGTAAACGTTTTGCTCCAAAAAATATTGCCAATCGATTTTTAAGACGTCCGGTAAATAATTTCATTTAAATGATCATAAAACCAAACGTATTAAGCGAAGGAAAATTTAATTTAAATATTGAAGACGTTTTTAATACTTTCATAACATTGGACTCGTTCGTTTCAAACCACATTTGTTGGATTTCTTCAGTTCTATCTGTGGTACTTTTTTAATTGGCTTGCAAAACAAGTTAATAATTCTAAAATGATGAAAAAGTAATGATTCTATGATTTTAGTTAATTTCGGCTGCTTGGAATCGGGAAAGGTTCAGAGAGGACATTCACTTTGCTTTCAGTCGCTTTCGTCCAGTACGATCATTTACGGAAAGCGAAGAGACATTTACGTGCTGTAGTTTTTCGGTAATTTCTCAGAATTGCATAGAACTAGATTTCACTTTCTGATTTCCTATTGTAAAATAAAGAAACTTGTCACTATTGTTTCAGATTGATGATGAACACATACTACTAGGTTCTTATGCTGGCGCTTTGAATTGGTTTAATATACATACCGGTGCCGAGGAATCGAATACCGAGTGCCATCATAGTGCAATTACTGGTATCGAACAATCAAAAGTAAATCATCTGCTATTTCTTTTCAATTTGTTATATACTTGGGCATTTAAAACAGAGGATTTTGATTTGTAATTTTCGATAGTTACCACCGAATTCTTTGAGGATGGTTCGCTATTGCTTACTTCGTCAGCTTTTGTGAAGCCGCTTTCTTCTCTCTGGCGTATTGGTGAAACCCAAGAACATATGATCAATTTTCCGGACGAATATTTTGTTGAGTTTAATAAAACAGTTCAAGATCGTATCATCGGAACGCAAGGAAGTAAAGCAACGGTAATTTTTTAGTTTAGCATTTTTGCTTAGCCAAGACTGCAATCCTTTCATACTACAAAGATTATTAGCAAATAGATTGCCTGCAATCTTGTCATACTATATGACTAAAACTCCAGATTTATGATACGGAAACTGGTCGAGCTGTGATTCGTCTTTTTGATGATACTTTGGCAAATAATTACACCCGTAACAAGTTAGTCCATTATTTATTCGAAAATAGTATTGCATATGTATTCTCAAAGCAGGTGGGTATGAATGCTGTAATCTTTTATCAAAACATTTTGATTAGCTAGTACTTTCTTATACCATTCTAATCTAAACTACCCTTTGCTACTTTGCAACTGCATGAGTATTCGATGAACATAAGTAATATTTGCTTAGTGAAAGTAAGTCAGCCAACATTTGACGTACATTATACTTCATAGATCATGTATCCTTCGTTTTAACTCTTTTTAGTAGTTATTATCACAACACGATGTGGTGTTGAGTTGAATATTTTGATACTTTATTAAATTCGTCATAAGGCATTTTTTTTCACAGTCGCATAGTGTATTTGAGTATTTGATAAATAGTTTGTTATTAAATTCAGGGCAACGTTTGATCCGAGAGATGAATTAGTATTGAATGACGGTATACTATGGGATCCGAGACTGGGAGTAAAAATGGTGCACAAATTCGACAAAATGAATGCTGTGAATTGTGGTATCTTCCATCCACGTGGAAATGAAGTCATCATAAATTCTGAAGTGGTTCGTTTGTTTTTTATTTGTTGTTTTAGGTTTTAGGATTAATAAAACCTGTTCAATAAGCATCAGCTTTTTTATCGCTATTATTCTTGTTTCCATTAGTTCGCTGTGTTTAAATGTGATAGGGTAAACGGTTTTCCTTGGACTTACAACCTCTTTTAATTTCGGGGTTAACCACTTTGCAGTACCGATTCTTTCTTGTCAGATGTTATATGGTAATATTTTGCCATTAAGTTTTTCGGAAAACTCTTATGTGCAGTAGTTTTGTCCTCATTCTGATTGTGTTATTTAAAATTCGGAAAACTTTACATTTTGATCGTATGAAATCCAAGATAATAAAACCTTTTTTTAGTTCACACAAAATGAAATTGTACTAATTTAATGATGAAATTTCCAGTGGGATGTGCGTAATTTCAAATTGCTGCATAGTGTCAGTGCGCTCGATCAATGTAAAATTGTATTTAGCGGTGGCACAGATGCGCTTTACGGATGTATGTTTTTTCTCTGCTGAAAAGTCAATTAATCTTAGCTTTGTGAAGAGTACAGCTATTTCGATGGTCACAAATAAGTGAATCTTTATATGTGAATGTGATCTGAACTGATTTGGCAAATGTCAGTTCAACTCTTAGAATAATTATGAGTTTTTCCAGCAGCTTATTTGGATGTAGAAGAAATAGATGATCGCTTTCGTCAAACATTTGCTTGTTCATTTCGAACTTTCGATTCTACTACCTACAAGGTATAATTTAGAATTACAAATAGTAGTGGCCGTACATGTTATTTCTATGCTGAATATATCTCCAGTCTTATCCCTCGAAATAAGTTGCAGTGTTGTAAAATAAACTTATCTCTCTTTTTGTTCTTATTTATTTTATATCTGTATCAAATAGTTTCTACCTTTCAAAAGTATTAATGGATATGATTTTTTGCAGGTAATTACAACAGTGGACGCAAAACGAGCTTTATTCGATTTCTGTGCTGATCATAATGATCAGTATATGGCTTTGATTGAAGCGCATGGGAATGCAGATGATTTATTAGAGCTGCGAGAAAATGTCTGCCGTCTCTACGAGGTTGGGAAACACCGTGAAGCAGACGAGTGTGATGATGAACAAGTACATTTTTTTGTTCATTTCTGCGAAAGACAAAATGATATTATGAATTCTGTCATAAATTTGTACTTTTCATTTCTTGTAGTTCCTTAGACAATTGTTACGAAGTTTGTACAGGATTGATGAGCAGTTATTTTAACTGGATATCGAAGTGTCTTACTCCTTGTTAAAAGCGTAGTAATATTAAAAAAAAAAACTATTTGAAGGAAGAAACAGGTGACGATAATGAAGATGATGATATGGGTTCATCAAGTGGAATGGATACATCGCTTGGAGATACAACTGCTACGGATTCTTCATCGGAAGAAAATTCTGATGAAGGAAGTGATGAATCCTTATATGAATCGACACATAGTCTTAATGGCAGTTTGAATGATGAAGATGAACAGGTTTGTTCTTTGGGTTAAGTGGATGATAAATAATTGGTAACTAGACTAATAATGTGTTTTGCAATCTGTACGATAATTATTAGTATGCAAAATGTTTTGTTATTTCAAGATGTCTTGTTGATATCTATGTGGATTAAATGAAAAGTTCCAATTAAAAATGGGGACCATCGGCAGTGTAGGAACTAACCAACTTAGTTTTTCAAATAAGCTTGAAGTACGTAAATTTTACTCCGGCGGGAATCGAGAAATTTTTGAACTTATTTTTAGTGGGCAGATGATGACGACCATGTTTCGGAAAATGGCGAAAATTCAGAACGAAGTAATGGCGTCCTTTTGCGAATTGGTGATCGTGAGGCTCTAAACATTGTTTTTGATCCGGGCACGAACCGACGTGATATTCGCTTACGTATGTTCCCATTATGATGAAAATGTGCCTGTGAAATTCGATTTCAAGCTAATTGAATCTTCACATATGAAATAAACGCCAGAAAGTTTTGATACTTTGTAATCAGGTCTTGACGAATTTTATTTTCTGACATTGAAAAGTTCAAAGTGTTTATAATAATAAAGTCTTTTTAAGTGCAAGCGCTGGCAGTGGATTCAGATAGCGATACAGAAGTGGATGTTAGTTACAATCCTGATGAAGATTCAGCAAATTCTGATATGCATCCGGGTTCGAGTTCAATAGTTCTGAATCCAATACTTCGAAGGCAGCGAAGAGCGGAACGAGAATAATAAATCATCACTCGTGTAGTAATTTTAAGGGTTCTTTTACTATATGTTGTTGATTACTCGGCAGTGTTATTTATCTGTTGTTTTTACTCGTTATTTGTATCCGCTTTGTTTACAAGCTAAACATTGTACTCAAATTTTGTGGTAACTCGTGAAATCGGTTGGGTTTGACTTTATGCATGCATGTACTGCACTTTGTATGTTACATATCCATTTTTTCTAACCGACTGTTATGTCTGCTACAGTGTTTTCCGGACAAGACCAAGACTACCTCTGGTCTTTTTTTGTATTATACCCCCATTTACTACTGCTATGTATGCAGGCACGCAAACTTTTTACAGTTCGCTCTGGATTGTTAATTTCAATTCTGTTGTTTCTACATTTCTCTCTTATTTGATGATTTCTGCTTATTAGTAGTCGATGATAAGAACGGGGCAATTTTAGAGTTAACATCCCACGACTAAGGCACACCTTCTTCGCTTTACTGGTTTTTCTGGGTGATAGATACAGGTGCATTATACTCATGTTTCACCTTTTTCTCTAACCATCATTTGTTGAAAGTGCCTCGAATCCACTTCGAGCATTTTTCCAGCATGTATTTTTTCACGAAATGCGTCAACAGTTTCATGCAACAGTTTTTTAATATGTGGTCATGTACTTTGTCTTTTGATTGATTAGAGCTGGTAAAAATTTTGAATATTGTATCTTGTACGTTAAAGCGCGCTAACAGCGGTGAAATAATTTATTTGGTATAAAATCAGAAGGAGAATTCTCACAGATGCCATTAAGCCGTACATTTTTTTCGAACTTGGTAAAAGAAACTATAATCACAGCTGAAAATGATCCCGCGAAGACGAACTCAAGAAGGATTTAAGCACTAGAAACTTTGGAAGCTCTTGATTTATGAAGGGTAATTTCCCACAGGATTCTCCACGATAGCGTCGCAACTACAAATTGGTTTACATTGAATTTTATAACAAGTCTTCCTCAGTGAAATTTTGGAGTAAGAAAAAAGAAAGAGGGCCAGTGTATACCTTCATACCTTCTCATTTAGGCAGATTGAAATGTAAAAAAATGATCGTGAACGCACCAGTGTTGTTTGGTGCTTTGAAGAGTTAAAAGAAGTAACAAGAACTTGGCAGATTTTGACGGTGGACTTAACTGTTCACTGGTATAAAGAAGTCAAAGCAAAAAATAATCCTAATGCAGTAGTTTTCCTTATTACGTATTCACATCTTGTACCAAATGGTTCTTAGCGCCATCGAAAAGTGCCATCAAAGAAAAGGCATCCGCTGTTAACTCACAGATCTGTTGATCTCCCCAGCTATGTGTCGGAAGATTTTGCAATAGTAACATTATTCCCTGTAATTTACAATCCAACTTATTAACCATGAATTCATTAATTTCAAGATGCATAAGAATTTCGAAAAACCTGAAAATCCTTTTCTGCTTGTAACTGCTTAGACCACATGCGAAGAAAAGCTGCACATACATAGCCATGAAACTGAGAAAAACCGCTTTTTTCACTCTGAAACAATCCAAACATTGTAAATAAATTCTCAGACTCTGGCGAACCTGACCAAAAGAAATTATGGATTAAAAATAAGAGAAATGGTTTTATCATTTGAAAACCACACCTTTCATTCATCAATACTTTTTCAGGAAACCTAGAAAACACGTGTAGTACACGCAATGTATTGCTACAGTTAATAAAATGAACCAGAAAATCAATCACAACCAGCGGTCAACCTACCAAGAAAGTATCCCAAAGGCGAATCGTTGCTCGCAAAGGAATTTCTCTCATAAGAACGTTATTCATCCAGCGAAACGCAAATTGCAAGTACTCAACACCATGAGCTTCCAAATGACGATGAAGCTGCTCTAAAAGTAAAGGGAATGCCATATTTCACTCGAAAGTATCGTCCTTGAAATCTGAATGACTACCATTTCATACAGATTAACTCTATAATAATTCCGGAAAATAAACACTCCATCCAAGTGGACTTACTGTCAACACGACTCATCAGATGTCGTAACTGTGATACTTTACGCTGGATACCTGGCTGTGCAAATGTATAGTTATCCTGGATTGTATCCAACAATGCTGTGACGCACCAAAAACTATCTGCTTCAACAATTTCAATTTGCTCTCGCGGTAACTGACTTACATCATATGTGCCAACTTCCGTATCTAAAGTTTTCTTGTCTTTAACTCTTTGGTTCTACGAAATTCCATTTGTGACCAATAATTTGTGAATTAAAGAATAAATTAACCATCAGATATGTATTCTGAGAGGAACACAACAAAGAAGGGTGTGACAAGATCGTTGATACCCTGCACATAACCACTTGCTGGATGACGAATAGCCCAGATATATAAGATATGTTCAAAGATCTGCAAACAGTAAACATGATTGGTTCACGGAAAAGTTAGAGAAAATGTATTCGGAATTTAGAAAATTCATCGCATACCTCCTGCACTATTTTCTGCTGGAAAAGCGGTATCAGGGGACACATACGCGGAATATCAATGTGTATCTGCAAATCAGTTCATTTTACATTCCATTCTTGTTAATTTTTTAAATGAAAGTGAAGAAATGAACTAGTTTAATCCACAAACCTGTCTAAAGGTATCCTGATGCTGCTCATCATATCGAGTATGGAAATATTGCTCCACATAACGCCAATACTCTTCCCTTTTCCTCGCAAGTGTTACTTCACGACGCTCAAAATTTGTTGGAAGATAACCCTAATTTACAAAGAAAGCATTAAGTACAATAGAAGAAAAAACTCGACATTAAAAAATGACAGTTGTGCTCTCCATAATAAACAATAACGTCAAAAGTCTTGAATGGAACGAAGATACAAAAATAAATAGTAGAACAATGAGCACAAATTTACCAATAATATTCTCCAAATCGTTGGTCGTAATTTGTGAGGTATACCCATCCAACAGTCCTTACGCAATTGCTCTAAATCAATATCTATGGTTTTCAAAGATTGCATACCATTCTTCGGACTTAACGATGGACATGTGTGAACACCAAGCTGGGCGCGTAACCGATCAAAGCGAGCATGATCCCGATGAAGAGCTATAAGAAAGTTAATAATTCTTGGAAATAAAGAATTGTTTTATTATTATATATATTATATAAAAAATTGTTTTATTATGTCAATCGCATCCACCGTTACAACCAGATCAGAACTGCTGAAACAATAAGCATAGATAAAAGAATGTACTAGTCATTTTGTAATCGGATTCTAGAACTATGCATAAAAATTACACGAATAATGACCTAAAGTGTGCCCTTGAGCCGTCGGTGAATCATGTGCCATCATCGAGCCACCTATTATTGAACTTGATGGTGCTCTTCCATATTCAACCGATATCTGCAGTTTCCAAGAAATGAAGTATAAAATTTGGTTTTAGTTGTTTTTACCATAACCCCGTAAGAGTTAATTCTACTCTAATACCTAAACAGGTTTACATCTATCTACTTACGCACCCATTAATGACAACTAAAGCCTATTCTTATCCACTTTCTTTTGCATTAATTTCGTCGTAAATCTCGAGAAATCCCATATTTACGACTTTTAAAAGCAGTAGCCCAAGCTTTTTAAAAAGTAAAAACACTCACTTCTGGCAGCCGTGGGTATAAATTTATAGATAGATGCATTCCACTGCTCCCTGTTGGCACTGCCGTCCCAGGTATTGGTTCTCAAATTTGACAGACATGATTCATAAGTTTCCTAATTAAAAAGAATGAAGTGGTATAACATGAAACTTCAATAAAAAAACTAAAAAATTGTTTACCTTTCTGGATAGCCAAACGCTGCATAGCCTGTATTTTGCTGTTTCTTGAAGGAATTGGATTAACTGGTGGCATTATCAAGTCATGCGCTACCATATTGGCATGTCGTTCGAGGACTTTTGCAGCACTTGTGCAAGCAGCACGTTCATCTAGTGTTACAGATACATCCCAAGCATCCGATACGCTGAAAAATTCGCTGAAATCTAACAAAGACATTTACTTTCTTTATGTCACCATTTAGAAACTTACCACTTAGAGGTAGTGTGATATCAAAACTAATGTTAGGCTGAAATCAAAGCATCGGACTGTAATAAATTAAGCTAAATAACATTATAAACTGAAGTTAGCGCTTCTCGTAACAAAAACTAATAAGGACTTTTTTCCTCAAATTTTACTTCAAGAATTACTTTAACCGGCTTTATATTAGAAGTCTATAAACTAAAACTGATCAACTCGATTTACCACTAAGACAGTTCATTCATTCAACTCAACGTGTGCCACAGAGGATTACGCAATGAATCCAATAGTGCACTACAAAAAGTGGTATGCGATGTCGTTGATTATTAACTGGCCAATATACGAAACATCCTCTTTAACTGCTTGAAGCATTTAGACATAATTCACTGTATGTTAGCAATACAATGCCGTTCCTAATCCAACAATGCACTCACATCTTTAAATGAGATCTCTTATAAAGAGAGAATCACTGAACAGTCGCGAAAAAGTCGTTAAAGACAAACCTGTCCACGTAATTTTGGAACTTTGCTCCAGAATTTGAATGTTGATTATCGGCACTGTTAATTCGGCTAACACCATTCGCATAATCCTCATACTCAGTTAATGGTGGGTACTGAGCACCGTAAACAGGCCTAACACTATAATAAACAAGCTTGACAATTATTAACGAAATATGAAAATAAATTGCATGGCTTTGATATTGTAAAGCAGAGAAAATGGGATACTGATCAAACCTTCCAGGTATTGCCGACTGTTGAATCCAATTGTGGCTCATTGCTTTACTTAGTTCATTTCCATATCATAAGAATATATATTTACTTTCGCCACAGCAACATTTAAAAATTAACGTCCTCAAATAAGATTGTTCCGAAATAAGACAAGGTAACCAAAACAAAGCACTGCACAAGCGCAACCAACAGCGCACTATCACTGTTGCTCTTAAACCACTCAGTC